GATGCCGCGGCCGCGATGAGACTCGGGACGTACGATGAGGAAGGAAAGGTCTTACCCTCGGCGTGGACATTTACGGGCTGGACGAATAGGGGCAGCGAGACGCTGACGAATGATGGGCTGGGAAACCCAGTCAAAGAAAACGGCATGGTCAGGAGTGGGTTCAGGCCGAGTGATGATGCGTGTATTTTCCAGCTGTTGACACCGAGTAACATGATGTTTGCGGCGTATTTGGAGCAGGCGTCAGTGATTATGGAGGGTTTGGCTGGATTGAATGGGCTGGAGGTGGGGAAGAGGGAGATGGCGAAGAATGTGACGGTGCAGATGCGTGAGTTGGCTAGGGGGATTCGACATGGGATTGCTAAGGACGCGGTGGTCACCCACCGCGAGTTCGGTGAGATGTTTGCGTATGAGGTGGATGGGTACGGAAGCGCGAATTTGATGGATGACGCTAATGTGCCATCGCTGTTGGCGTTTCCGTTGTGGAATTATACCCATCCGCTCGTCGACCCAAAGACCATTATCGCCAAGTCAACCCACGCCGACAGCCGTGACCACCAAGTCCCCAAACGCTCAGCATCAGACCAACCATCCCTCGATGACGAACTCTCGCCTCCCTCACCTCCCTCCTCCTCCTCACCTCCCTCCTCCTCCTCACCTCCCTCCTCCTCCTCTCCTCTGCCTCCCAAGTCCAAACCCTACATCCCCACCCCTCCCCCTTCCCACAACTACTCCTTAATCTACCAAAACACCCGGCGCTTCATCCTCTCCCTCTCCAACCCTTACTTCGCCGCCGGTCCCGCCCTCTCCGCCGTCGGCGGCCCCCATCTCGGTCCCGGAAAAGGCTGGCCGATGGCGGCCACGGTAGCCGCTTTGACTGCTTACAACTCGGAGCTGTCGGGCTTGTCTTCGGGCACGACGGAACAAGAAAAGGTGGTGAGCGAGCAGCTGCGGATGATATTGGACTCGACGGGCGGGACGGGGGTAGTGCATGAGACGGTGAACGCGTGGAATGAGAAGGATTGGACGAGAAGCTGGTTCGGGTGGGCTAATGGGTTGTTTGGGGAGTTGATCGTGAAGATTGCGGAGGAGGAGGCGGGGAGGGGGGTCAAATGGGAGAGCGGGGAGGGGTTGTTGGGACGGTTGTGGCAGTGATGTGCATGTGTGTGTGTGTGCATGTTTTATTTCTCGGGGTTTTCTGAATTTTACTGGGTGTTTGAGCAGGATATATCATTGTCCGCTTGTATGGATGGCGTATGCCTGTCCTGACTGGAATAGGAGTGTTATCTCGGATTAGGTGAAAGCATGCTGGGCGTTGACGGCGTTAACAGTGAGTATCTGATAGTTGATGGGAATGATGGGAATGTTACTTGCGAAGTCTCGGGAATTGTGATTATAACGACTTCGTCTTCCTGCAAGCACCTTTTTTTTCTTTTTATTACTGTTTACCCTCCCTACCAAACCCTAACCGTACACATACAAAGAGGTCTCGTACTCATCTTCATACTTTGGACGCTCAGATCCCAGACCATGTCAGGTTTATAGCGGTTTGGATCCTGATCTCAGTTAAAACGAAGCCCATCAATAACCAGAATGCAAGAATAACTCAGTTCATGAAAAGCAACGCCATCGCTATGTAAACCATCATACTAGAAGGAAGCTTCAATCTGTTTTCCTCCCTTCCCTCCTTCGTAAATCATGTTTAGAGAACGGTCGTCTCTGCCTCGTTGACCAGCTCACAATCCTTTGAACGTCGTGCCCACGATCTCTGCGCCGCAAATCGACTTTTTCTCCTGCTCGTTCATAGCCGCGCTCCACAGCCTCAGGTCATCCAAGGTAAGGTTTGCATTCGCCAATTTTGATTCCAGACTCCGAAGATCGATCCGGCTGTGAGCAGTCAACAAATTACCGCCACCGATCACATTTGCGGGGCTATTTGCGCCATCCTTGGCTTTCTCGTTGGACAGAATGGCAAACCGCAGTAATACTTCCGTGACAGTGACCATGATACTGATCACGATAAGGATAATGATAATCCAAGTGATGTAGCTCATCTTTGCGTCAGCCACGTGGTCAGAAAGAATGCTTGCCAGATCAAGGAAGACCTGGCAACGCTCGTTGAGAACCCTGGTACGTGTTTCAATCTCGAGATAGTCTCTGATGGCTTCGTATAACGGGCCAAGTGTAGGTTCCGAGTCCCAGAAGAAGTTGGGTTTTTCAAGAATGTTCGATGCTACAAGTGCGCCTGTTAGTAACCTTGACTAGACCGTACTCAATGCAAAAGGTGGACTTACAAAGATTGATATCTACACGACTCTTGAAGAGCTGCCCTAGGATTTTCAGAACTTCGGTCCTATCCATGTCCAGTTTACCCGTAAGTGCAAGTCTCTTCGGCACGTGCTGAGCACCTTCCATCGTCTCTGACATGCGCTCCTCGAAAAAGCAGAGTTTGGTGCTCTGGGCAATGGCATGGCTAATGGTTAGCTTGACCATGTGGTCAGACCGAGGAAGAAGTGTGATCATATCGTTGAAGACGCGAGGGCGGTCCACGTCGGCGCTGTACTCGAAATGGAACTCTTCAGTCTCAAAATCGTTCTGATCAAGGGGCCGAGTAGCGAGCGAAACACCGGTCTCGTTCTCGGCAAAGGTCAAGTCTGCAAGGATATCTTTCTCCTGGTGCTCTGTAAAGTTCCAAAACACTACTACGCCATACGAGAAGACGAACATCTCGCCAAACCTTTTAGCATCAGGTGCCAGGCGGTTAATGGGGCTGATAGGAGGATGGTCCAGTGTCTTCTGATCATGGTCTGATGAGTGAGCACCTGTCTCGTCATCCCCACTGTGAGCATGCTGTAGCAATGTAGTCCCATTGCTCGGGCTATCTGCTGAGCCGTGCATATTGAATGGGTATTCGTCCCAGTAGCCCTCGTGCTCGTCTCTTCGCTCGCTGCGCTCGATTTCAAGATCCAACACTGTCTTTCCCGTGCCTGGAGTCTTCAAGATGGGTCGACTCCGTAGCCGGTAGCCATCTACACCAGGTAGCAGAGGCAGGTGATATACCGTGTAAAGACAGTCGTCGTAGAGTTTCGTCTTGGCTTCGTGCTTCTTCTTCAGGAACTCGGCTGTCGCTTGCATCTTGTAGGCTTGTGCTGTGCAATAGGCAGTAAGTCGAGAAACCTTTTCGCCTCGCTGTACCTTGGGTAGACGCTCAGCATAGCTTTTGCCACGGAGTCCTCCTCTCTTCCTCAGCACATCCAACTCTTCGTCTTTTAATGGCCGATTATCATCTTCGGATGCGCGCAAAATGGAGGCGCGGCGCTCCAGTTCTTCATCGCCTAGTGCATCTTCGTTGTCGGGAGTTTCGGGGAGAAGAACGAGCTTCTCGCTAACCTTAGTAGTCCTAGAAGGCACGATCTGTTGACCAGTTCGGGCAGAAGCATTCGGGAGTCCTGTTCCGTGGCTACTCCTGCGGATGGCAGCTCGTGTTGGCCGCTGGCCGGGCGGCAGCCGGGGTAAGCCGGATGGGATATCTGATGAGTACTGCAAGACATTGTCGACGGTAAAGGAACGTCCATTCAAGAGGCGGCCGGGGCCACCTGTAGGGCCCATGCGCCGGGGTGCGCTGGGAGGTGAAGGTCGTTGGCGAGCATCTGTCACCTGTGTGTCGATGGATGTCAGCCAATTGTCCAGTAAAAATCAAGGAGTCAACATACCAAAACAGACGGGCCACGCTTTGCAGACGCCATGGTTGGTGATGGCTCAAGGTTCGAGATAGTACCGCGCTCGAGGCTGAAGATTGTATATTAGAGACTGTGTCTCAGTCCGTCCCGGTTGTTGGCAAGTGTCTTGGACCGTCTCTCTTGGTGTGCGGATTCGGGCTTGTGGGACGACAGGTCAACGGTGACCGGGCAGTTTCTGTTCGACGGCGGACTGGCGGTGTCTGCTGGCTTTAAAAATGCGATGGGCCGAGAAAGAGAGACACGGCGCCGAACTGGTCGTCGGAAGATATCTAGATATCGTGTCAAAGGACTGGAAGCCGGGTCGGGGTCCGTCCCGTATCACCTGAATCCGACTTTCAGATGTGTCTGTCGTTGTGGACTGGTGATGGATTTGACACACTGTTTCGTAAGTCGAAAACAAATGGTGGTGGAATCTTTCCCCATCCAAGCGCAGTGGATGTTCTGAAGACGGGAGCCAAAGTGGAAACAATGGGGCCAGAGCCGCCCGACGTCATCGCCGCTGTCCGCAGTAACCCCACAACCCGTAGGGTAGGTTGTACCTACCTACTCAACCCCGCAAACTACAGCACTTCTGCAGCCCAAGTTCATCCAGTCTGTCCGTCCGCGTACAAGATGCCGTTGATGGAATGGAATACACTAGGTAGGTTCAAGTGGAATTGTTCATTCTTCTGAATCTCTTTGATGGCTTTGTACGGAACGTTTCCTACTCGATCTTTCAAATACCTGTTTGTACAAGTGGCATATCTGGGTATCTCTACTTAGGTTACTTCCATGGGCTGCTCTCGCCTGGAAACTGCTTGTGGTGCCGGATGTTACTGTCGTCGCCTCACTCAGTAACACACAATCACTCAGTGACACACAAGGGAATACTCCAATGCTTCGAAGTCGTCTATTTCACAACCTCTTGAAAGATCATCATTTTTTTCCGACTCAGTGCGCAGACCTTGGATTCTTCGTTGGATGTCAATGAAATGTCATTGCAAGGCCGTTAAGAAACACCACCATCGTCTCTGGAAAACACGCCTATGGCTTGTGCACCTCTATGGCCCAGTTTAGGTTGCCGCATGCGAGATAAACGTAACGTCCGACAAGTTCACGGAAAGCTGTTTGACTTGACGGTGCGCCACAGGCAAAGGCATGTCTGGCAGCGACTTGAAGGCGCAAAAATGTCAAACGCACCGGCTGCGTTTCATCCGAACCCAGTATTTCCATCTGATCAAGTTGCAGACAAATGAGTGTACTTGTAAGTGCATGTAATTCCAGACATGCAAGAGGACCGCCGTACGCCTCCTTCATCGATCATGCTCTCTGGCAATATGTGTTTAGAATAATCATTATAATAATAAAAAAGAAAAGAAAAAGCGTAAATTGCAAATGGGGATATCAAACTCAGGCTCCAACCGACGCCTGCCATGTATGTAGCTTCCTCTGGGCCTGTCCACATAAAGCCACCATCCAGGTCATAACTCCATCTTCTTGACTTCAAAATGTCATATTATGATCGTAAGTCAACCTCGCTGTCCTCGCGCCGTGCCATTTCCTCAGTCTCGAATCGTACTCTTAGCGATATTGCATTGGCTGGTTCGGTTCAGGTGCCTTCTGGCCCCAACCTTGAGGCAGTCCTTGAGCAGGTGCGCCAGGTGGTTGGTGTTGTAACGGCACTCCTGGGTTACCGTCTGCACCCCGGCGCATTGCTTGAACGTCCTGTCTATGTTCGAGTGGTTGTTGGAAGTTGCAAATGCGGCACGAGATGTCTTCGTACCCCTTGATCGAGAGAGGAATGACGGGCTGTAAATGTTGTTCAACATTAGCTTCAGCTCGGCATAGAGATACGCACACACAACTTCGCCGCCAGAAACGCAACACCACGTACAATGAAGCAGAAAGTGAACCATGGATGGCTCTTTATAACACTGCCCGAATAGTTACCGCAGTTGTAGCACCGGCACACGAGTCCTTCATATCCCTCCACTTCCTTGCGAAAGGTGTGCTCGCCGCACGTGAAGATCAAACACATGATGTCGATGATCTTGATTGAGTTCTCGACAGTGTTGTGGAGCTAACGAACGGAAATCGATCAAAGTTTGACGATGTTTGAGTAACAATGGGAACCAAGATCCGTGGGTATCAAACAAGCAGGGGCAGCGGGGAATAAGTGATTGATGAATGAAATGGGTAGTTAATAGCAAGATAATTCTCAACGCGCTATCGATAACCGATCTCGGTTACAAAGTGGGTGTCGCTACTTGGCTCGTTTGGTCTCTAGTTGTTGAAAAGAGGACGCCTAAGATTGTGTCCAAAGAAGAGAAGTTGAAAGTTCCCGTCTGGTCTTCCTTTCGGCGATGACAAAAGAAGTACATTAAATCTAAATCTTGCGCGTTCAGTTGCTGGCCGAAGGACACAGTGCAACCAGACATGACATTCTTCCGGAGGTACTACCTACACCAACCTCTAGGCAGCAGCCTATGTACCTTACCTGCTGAAGATGAGCGGGAATGCGAATGCGATGCCCCTCCGGCTGTGCGTGGAATTGATCAAACACTTCCTTCCCTTCGATTTGCTGCCCGAAGATGGATGGGGCGCACTTTCCCCCGCGACGCGCTGAGCTCCCCCGGGCCCAGCGGAGATTGCCCCAGAACTGCCCTGAACTACAATGCATACAGGTGGTCAAAGCGCACAATGGCCCCACTAAAAGCGTCCACACGGCGGGACCTGAGCTGCTGTGGGGTTACATTCCAGGCTGGATGGACCCATCGAACTTTCGTTGACATGCATTGTAGTCGAGACATGTGGATGCGGAGCTTCAAACCAACGGGGAAAAAAAAGAAGAGAAAAAAAAGAGAAATGTTTTCGATCGCCCGACATTTGATACGTAACAGCTTCTGCAGTCCAACTCAATCGACATTACGGCCACAGAACGGATAAGAACCATTCGCGAATCTTTGAGGCTACATACGGCCGCATTACCCAAATCTACACGACACAACAGTCTCAATCGCGAAATCCCACAAACCGAAACGAGACGCGACAGCACGAGCTTTTGCCTATCGCGAAATTCCAACGTCCAAGAGAAGAAGAGCAGACAACAACGCAGCCATGCTCTACGACCTCAACATTGCCTGGTCACCGACGACCTCAGCCTCAGAGCTGGAACGTACGCTCAAGTTCGCCAAAAACTTAGGTTACGATGTCGTCGCTCTGAACCAGACCATAACGGGCAACATCCCAACACAACCGCACCCGATCAGCAACCCTATCCCGCAACTCACACATCCACACCCATCATTCCCCGGTGGCGGCAGTTCAACAAGTGTCACATCCGTAGCGACCGCACGAACAAAGACGACAAACCTCTCAACAACCGCCTCATCAGCCGTCCCTCCCTCCTCCTCCTCCCCCCTCCCCACCGTCCTCCGCCGCGTAACCCTAACCGTCACCGACCCCTCGACAACCAACTACCGCCTCGTCGACTTCGCCCGTTCCTATGACCTGCTGGCCCTTCGCCCGACAAACGACAAGGCCTTCAGCTGGGCATGCCTGAGCACCACGGAGCCGCCAGCCATCATCAGCCTTGACCTGACCCAGTTCCTGGGCTTCCACATCCACCACCGCACCGCCATGGCGGCCGTGCACCGCGGCACGCGCTTCGAGATCTGCTACAGCCAGGCGTTTTTGTCAGGTAACACTGTGGACGCCCAGCGGGCGAGGAGCAATTTCATCGGCAATGTTCTGGGCTTGCTTCGGGCGACCAAGGGTCGCGGGATAATTGTTTCGAGCGAGGCCAAGAGCGCATTGGGGCTCAGGGGCCCCGCAGACGTGGTCAACCTGTTGGCTGTGTGGGGGTTGGGACCGGAGAAGGGGACGGAGGCGCTGGGGACGGGACCGAGGGCGGTGGTGGTCAATGAGGGTGTTAAGAGGAGGGGTTTCAGAGGCGTGGTGGATATCGTGCAGACTGCTCCTGGGGGTAAAGTGAGGAGCGAGGAGGAGGAAGGGGGAGCGGAGGGGGATGCGAAGTTGAGCAAGAAGCAGAGAAAGTTGCAGCAGAAACAACAGCAAGGGCAGAAACAAAAGCAGCAGCAACAGGGGCAGAAGCAGGGAGGGCAGCAAGGCCAAGGCCAAAAGCGCAAGAATGGAGAGAGTGGTGGTGGGCAGCAAAAGAAACAGGCGAAGTAGTCGAAGAACGAGTGTTATTGGAGGCCTGCCTCGTCAGTAGTCTGGCTATGACTTGACTCTTGCATATCGGGAGGGGCGCTTAGGTGACAGGGCGTTAGGCTTTTTTTTCTTTTCTATTTTCTTCACGCAGCATGTCATCACGTCTGACGAGCATTCCACGATACCCACCTATTTAGAGCGAAAAATGGGAACTATAAAAAGGGTGTGTGGGCTGTGATGGGTTTCAGGAGTTTTGGTTTGTCAACATTATCACGTCATTGAGCATGTCAGTTTGGTTACAGGAGTAACAACTTCAACGGGGCACTCTGGTAAACATCAACATCAAGCGTCTCTAAACTTGATCGGTTTAACGTGCCTATCTAGCGCCGAGTACAATGGCGGTCTTTGACGGGAGAAACGAATATTTACATATAATATTATATCAGTTGTTACCGGCAACAACACTCGCTGCACGGGTATAAACAACTTTCAACTCTCAACTGTCAACACAACCGGATGAATATCGAACTGAAAGAGCCACCGAAAGAAAAAGTCAACACGCAGATTTTTCACAGCCTAATAAGACACCTCCCCCTTCCTCTCCTATCAAAACTGACTTCCTTCTACCATTCCATCAACATCTTCACTCCCCCGCTCACGGCCGCGCAGCAGCCGTAGGCGGCACCAAATTCCCCAAATTCAACACGTTCGTCAGACTCAGCCCCGACACATCAAGACTCAACTGAATCCCTCCATTCGCAACACCCGGCGTCGGCATTACCGCGGTGGTTGTCGGCTTGGCTGCTGAAACGACCGGGAGAACAAGGACTGAGGTCGGCTCAGCTCCTGCTCCTACGGCGACGGTGGTGCTCGAGGTTGAGGTCGAGGTCGAGGTCGAGGTCGAAGTCGAGGAAGGGGCTTTCACAGAGACCGTTGAAGTTATGGCTACGGCGGGGGCGCTGGTTGATGTGCTGGTGGCGAGGTCGGTTGTGGATGTGGTGATAGCCTCCACGGTGGTCGAAGTGGTAGAGAGCCCCAAGGCAGAGGAGGATGATGTGCTGCTAGTTGTTACTGCCGCGCTCGTCGTGGAGGTTGTGTCAGCTGAGGGCACCGAGATTGAGGTCGAAGGAGCAGTAGCAGCCGGGGGCACCTCCAAAGTCGAAGTGCGTAAAGAAGCTGGGATCGAAACCGTCGTCACTCCCACTCCACCGCTGGCGCGCGGTAGTCCGTCATTGGCAGGTGCTCCCGCAACCACTCCTGGTACTTGACTGGAAGAACTTGCTGCTGGTACCGACTGGATCTGGGTGACGGTTGAGGCGATGACCTGCATTTGGGTGATGGTTTGGACTACCGTCTGGGTGACGGTCTGGGGCAAAGCTGTGATGGTGACGGTTGAAGGCGAGCCGGTGCCGAAAACTGTTGTTGTCACGAAAGAGAGCTGCAAGTTCCCAGTGCTTTTCGTCTGGTTAGCGGGTTTGTTGGACGTACTTCACTTTTCCGGGATGATGTTTCTTACCCAGGTAGTGCCCCAGCAGCTCCATTTTGGGTCACGGTGACCGTCTCCGTCACGGTCCCGGCCGCGATCGTTCCGTTGACGCCAGCGCCTCTGCCCGCCGTCACCGTCTCTTTGACAGTCTCTGTAACTATCAAAACCGATCCCTGCGAGTTAATGCCAGCACCACTGCCCGCACCACTGCCCGCCGTCACCGTCTCTCTAACAGTCTCTGTGACAATCAGAACCGATCCTTGCAATTGCCCCCCGGCCTTTCCTTTCCGCCCTCTCTGTCCTTTATGTTTGTGCCCGGTCTTCGCTAGCCTTCGTCCAGCAATCCCTTCTCTGTCGTATTCGGCAGCCTAAACATTGCTGAGTCAGTCATTCCGTGGATTTGGTCCGTGTCTTCAACCGTTGGTTCCTACCTGTACCAGTGACAGGTAGCTCAAGATCAGTACCAATAGTCGCACATAATTTTTACTCATTGTGGTGTTTGTGTGTACCCCAACGGGCGCACAAGTCCTGCTTTGGCGGTCGATCCCCTTTTAGAAGTAGCGCGAAGTTCAACGTCGAGAACCTTCGAAAATTAAAGCAACAGACCAGCCGTTGGATATGAGTGTCGATGTGGGATCAACCCGACATGGATCGTGGTAGTAGGTACCTGTGTATGTGTAGGTAACGACCGGACTTGCCAAAGATGATCTTCTTGAGGTGATGAAGCTAGCGCGGTCCAACAATATGGGTGGCGATAAGCCTTGGATGGCAATCCCACTACTTTTCGAGTCGATGACCTGCAGATAAACAACACAGCACGTTCCTTTGCCTCAAAGCCAGATGGCGTAAATTGACAGGGAGTGAAAACAACCCAAAAGAAGGACAAAGTGAAAAGAAACGGGGAATGAGACAAGAAAGGATCAGCCTGTACCAAAGGCGGGAATGAACGAAGTGAAGACTCTTGAGGGGGGAAAGAGATGGACGTCAGGTGCGGAAGGTCATTGCATCGCGGAAGGCAAATTTAGACGGCGAACATGGGATGCCCCAGGAACAGAGAGGACAACGGAAGGGCAAGCATTTCTATCATCTTTCACGATGCTACTATACCATTGTCAAGGTATAGAGATTATGAGGCAAGGGGTTTTGGGTCGGAAGAACTGCTTCAAGAAGCGCTAGGGTGGGAAGCATGGCCCTCGGCAAGAAAAAACAGGTCGAGATATGGGAAGGGGTGCAAACTGTAGGTATGAAGGATCAAGAAGATTTTTGGCCAAGACCATTACAGGGCTTTTCTGTATGAAATCTGGTCGCAAAAGATTCCGACAGCCGTGAACTTTAGTGTGCTTGAGGCTCATGTGGTGGGGTGACGAAGGGGTGGATGAGACCGACTCCTGACGGCTGGTGTTTGAGATCGGTCTAAGCGAGACCGAAGCAAAAGAGAGCAAAATACAGCCAAGGTCGACAGGGCACTGTTATTGATAACGACGGTACGTGACCTTCAAATTTCCCATTCGTAAAAATCGTGCCATATCGAATTGTATAAGAAACATGATGCTTATTGTATCGTTTTCTCCTGTTTGTGGTCGTCGCAGCGATAAAGGGACGCCGTGATGAGAGGCGGACGGCGGGCATGCGGCCAAGGAGGATGCAATTCAGGTGGCTGCTGCGGATTGTCTGATACAATATATACCGAAAAGAATATGCGATTACGAATGAACCGGGAACCTCGACACTACCGAGAGACGCAAAACATTGGCATATGTTCAGGGTGCACGGTTGTTGGGATGAGAAGAGCCGGCGCGAGGGTGCCAAAACTGTCCAGCCGAATCGGAAACGCCACCACTCATCTCTTGTCGTCGGGGTTCTGCCATTGTGAGTAAGAAATATTGAGCAAGGAGTTGAGTGTAGCCCGTAAGCGGTTGTTCAAGCAAAGAAGGCTGTCGATACGTCGTTCGTCGCATTGTGTACCGAGGTTTGAATTGTCCATGCAAGTCGAGAGTGCGGGGAGGATAAAAAAGAAAGAGTGTGGGCTAAGACCACATGCTTGGAGTTATAGGCTAAAGCTTTGACACTATAAAGTAACTAGGAATTGGACCGGTAGCTCAGGGGTAGAGCGTTCGGCTGCAGTCCGAACGGTCACGCGTTCAAATCGCGTTCAGTCCTCATCCTCCTAGTTGCATTTTTTTTTTCTCATTCTTTTGCTAATCTCATCATGTGGTGCTTTTCCTTTCCTTCTTTTGCTCTTCTTTTCTTTTGGCTTTTTTTTTTCCCATCCTCGCAGCTTCTCGACCTTAGGGCTTTCAGATAACTCACTGGATCGCTGTATCAGTACTCGTTAAACGCTCATTGCTAACTTCTGAATTCCATTCTATCACATGGTGCTTCCTAGTATTGATATTTCCTCCAAATGATATCTCGAGTCTCAACCCTTCATTCAAACTACCTCAAACTTTACCATCACACTATCCCAAGATGCCCTGCTACCAATTGTGTTTGCTTGAGACCCTTTCTCCTGTGGCCCCCCGCACAGTATGTGGCTGATCCAGCGATTCCTGCGACGAACAGAACGCTTCGAACACCGAGCATTCCTCTTCCGAGCGTGTTGCGTCTTCCGGTATGGGCACCATGGCGCTCTTCGTCCAGATGTGAATTGCTTTCGACCAGTCCAATCCCTCGAGACATCCGCCCTTGACGGAAACGAAGTTCTTACCCTTCATTTCATCAAGGAGACGGTGTTAGTGTTTGGTCCAACAAGTCTGCGATCTATCCTTGGGGATGACACCTACAGCCGTGGAATGGATCAGGCGAGTCCCGCATTGCTTGCAGAAGTAACTTTACCTAAGTTAGTGACAATCGCTTTACGTATGCTTGACGGTGCACGCTGAAATCGGAGAGGAACGTAAACACACCATTCTAAGAATTCACCATTGGGGTTTGGCCTCCTTTAATAAACAAATAGAGAGTTAGTAGAACGGCACCCTTGGGTCTTGGCATCGAAAGACTCATCAAAAAATCTGGCAACAGTGTGACTACCACGTACTTGTAACAACTCAGAAGCGCCTCACTGGGCAAAGGAAACCGAGGAAAGATGGCCGATACCCCAAAGGCCGAGCTCGTTTGCCGCCGACATTCGGCGCAGTGGCAGATATAAAGGGCGAGAGGGTGCCGAAGAGGTGTTTTGAAGGTCACGGCGCCACACTGACAGCTTGCATCCATGGCAGATGACTTTAAGGCGACCTCGGTCTCGGATTTGTCGTACGGTTGGCGTAAGGTGTAGGAATATGGACAACTTCACTGCCGACCAAAGTCACATTACAATAAAGTAGTGGATAAAGTTTGTGAGATGAAATAACATCTTATAAGAACAAGGAAAAAGGGATGTGGTACCCGTAAGGCTTGGCGTGGTTGAGATATGTAATGCACTAGGGGGAGCCAATCAACTATACAACTCTTGCAGGACGCTGGATAGGAAATCGTTGTTCACGTTACCTTGTACTTCAAGCCAATTCTTACGCAGTTCGCTACTAATCATTGAAAGAGTCAGACTTGTAGACCGCCTCTGGTTAGCTGGAAAGCTGACTCATCGCAATCAACGTGTATTTTGGCTCCAGCTGAACTTTTTCTTCTTTTCAACCATACCGCAACAGGCAGGTAAACAATGATTGTCCCAAGGAGCAAAATATAGGCGAAAATAATCATATTCGTATTAGTGATAAGTATCCCATATCAATGCTCTAAGGGTAGATATTGGACCCTGCCAGAACCCCTGATGTCGAATATCACCGGAACGCCATCTACATCATCACGACGCTTTCCAAAAGACCGCCCTGACCGACGTAAAACAAACTCAAATCACGAACAAAACGTCCACCACTTTATGCAGCCTGCGAATATCCCGGCTCCAGTCGTCTCCCACCGGGTCGCTGATCCGGCTGAGCTTCCCTGTCCAAACAAACGTTTTCCATCTTCCTTGCTATCCGGACAATAGGCTCGTCAATCGCCCTCATGAAGATATCAGCCGCCCATACAACAACGGGCCCAAGCACGCACAATCCCAAAAACCAGCCCATTGTCTTTTGCGTCGTGTTCTCCATGCCCATCATTCCCTTGATCCCGTGCGCCTCAACAGCTACCTTATAGTCATCCGTGCCAGGTTCGCCCTGAGCCGGCACAAACGGGCTGCCAAAGACATAAGCCTGGAAGAGTCCTAGAACCGGCCCATGGCAAATGTAGATCGCATAGCTGATGCGCCCGCAATACTGCGCTAGCGAACCCTCGAAGAAGCGTTTGAGGAGCGGAAGCTCTCCGACAGCCCAGACCGTTCCTATCGCACAAAGACCGAACCAAAACTTTTGCGGGGCGAGATGGTCCATCTTTGCGAATGGCATGGGCGTCTTTGCCAAAAACCACCGGATCCCCGGCGTCTTGTCCGCATAGTGATTAGGCCAACCGCCGACAAACAATCCCAAGATGACCAGCGAGATGCAAGATATGGTCTTCAGCGTCGACAGACTAACAAGCCCGCCGCCCTGCCTGACCTCCCGATGGCCATACTTGTCTAAATCATCATCATCCTCCTCCTGCGCCACCGACTCCCATTCCTTGTTCTGCTGCTCCCTTGCGCTCTTCAGCACATGCACCTCCGCAAGGAACAGGCCCGCCAGGAACTCAAACCCGGCCCACTTGCCGCAGCTGAGGCAGTACCCCATCAACCCCAAAACCATCATCTGCCTGATGCGCAGCTTGGTGCGCGCCAGCATGAGGATTACCATAAAGAGCAGCATGGAGTGCGCGAACTCGATCGGGATCGTCCACAGATGGATGTCGTAGCCGGGCATCATGTCCTTGTCCCAGGCCCACGGCCAGGTGATCTGCGTGAAGACGACGCGCTTCCAGACCATCAGCTGCTCGGTCCACGATGCGCGCGGGTTCCGCCCAGGGTAAAGGTCCATCTGCTGCAAACACATGATCATGAAGGTCGAGGCCACGCAGGGGCCAAAGAGGCGGAACGCGCGGCGGAAGGTCGACGAGCTGAGAGTGACATAGCATTTGTCAAAGTCGCGGGCGTGGATGGCCTTGATGGGTTTGTACGAGAGCACAAAGCCGGAGATGACAAAGAAGATGTGCACCATGGGCCGCCCGGAGAAGATGATGCGTAGGAACGGGAGCTGAATCCACCCTGTCGTGGCCGTTTCTGGGCGGTCATTGTCGGCGACGCCGTAGGAGCGTGTCAGAGAGTTGTAGTTGTCCTCGGTATAGTGGCAGAAGAAGACGATCACGGAGGCTATGCCGCGTAGGCCGTCGAGGTACGAAGTTGGGTGTAGTCGGGTCGCTTTCCTATGATCAGAGAAAATGGCGTCGGCTATGAAGCTCGGGATGAGAGCCCGGAGGACTGTGTCGGCCCATGATACTGGGTTTAGTTGATGGCGGAGCATCTTGCTGTTATGTCTTTATGCTTGCAGTGTCGGTAAGAGTGTTACACCGGGCACTTTACATCAGCTCTCCAGTCAGATCTTTGTTGTTGACACAGCAGGAAGGAGCATTGATAATGAAAGTCAGAGGAAAATGTGTCTGTAGTATCCAGGTTAGCGATGGGTTCGTTTTTCTTATCGTTTGAGGATGGCAACAAAAGTGTAGAGGTGCGTCGTGGAAAGACCACCGAACAGGATAAGCTTCGGTATAGCTCAACTGCGTGATGACCCTAGATTGGATGAACTGTATATCAAACACAAGAAAGCGGTGGAACCGCCACCAGTCGACTGGATTGTAACCAGATGGTTTCAAGAGGTTCAGGATATTCATGCTCGAATTATGAAACACGGGACTTACCAACCATTCTAACCCACCGCCAAAGAATACTGATAGTTTGATACTTGAGCCGGCCTCGTCCACGACAACAAAGAGGGTTAACAACAACAACAACTAGACAAGATGCAAAGCCGATGCACAACCCGCAAAGCACTGAAAGTGGAATCAAAAGAAAGATGAATGAATGAGAGACTTCGAGAAAGGGACTAGAGCCAGAGAAAAACGGTCCCAAGGTCAAGGAGTCGTAAGAGGCCCCACCGATCGTCCAGGAACAGCAGAACGTCCCTATTTCAAGCCCACCATCACAGTTCCAATGCTGCCACTCAACCTGAACAGGACATCCCCTGAATGGAAGACGCCTTGCTTTTCGTGGATGATCTGCGTGTTGGTGAGCTCATCATCTCTCCTCTTCGACCCCTTTTGAAACGGGTTGTATGCGAACGGTGTTTCCTATCTCGCTCGTCCCCAGGGCGTCAGGGCGTCTCCTTCTCCCTCCACCGGGTTCAACTTCCAACAGGCAATCTGCACCTTGATCTTTTGATAGGCTGCCAGGTGTTGCACTCTCCCTGACAGCTTGTGAGCTGAAAAAAGAAACTGATCATACCTCCACATCATCAGTGTGGCGTAATGTGAGCTATCGGTCCAATTTTGAATATCAGCAGCGGTCCCCTTTCTTTGCGAGGCGAGGAAACCTCAGTATCGACTCTAACATGGTAACCCTCGGGTCTCGAGCTGAATCTATGGTACATCTGGGCTGTAGCTGATGCCAAGAAGCTGTCTCCGACATTCATTGGTGTCCTGAAGCCCACTTCCTTTCCGAGCTTTCCCTCTTGGAAACTTAATATTGAAAAGGAGGACCCATTAGCCATTCGGGACTATCGAAAGCAATGGCCGAGCGCGAGAAGGATAGGAGAGCAGGTGAAAGGAAGCTCTTCTGTGGAGCAGAGTTGGGGAACAGACAGGAAACCTGACCCCCTCCCCAACAGGTAGGTTTCGGGAGTTGTAGAGGCTGGCTGGGGAAGGTCAGGTCCCAAATTATCATTCAGGGGTTGCCGATCGGTAAAGGTGTCGCTTGGGTTTGTGCGGGTGATACACTACCTACTACATGTTGGAGAGGGGTCCAGGTAGTCTCAGTCGCTCAGCCACCTCCGATGGCCTATGCGTCTCTTCGAACCCACAGGGCCAGATGGTTGTAACATCCGGGCCCCACCACCCTCACCCACCCACCAATCCGGACATCACACCATTTGGCCCTGTGGGTCCAAAACGACTGCGCCACGGGGTGGCGGGGAAGTGGATGGGGGCTGACTAAGGTTGAACGTCTGTCATGAGAGACTAGGTCCAGGTTCCTGTCGGGTCTCCAACTCTACTCTACAGAGTTAGCGATAAAACTACCGGATACGATAAAACCCGACCGGACAGCAAAAATGCAGCCCAAAAAGGGCAAAACCCTACCCTCCAACTTTGCAACGCTGTAAATCTACTATTCCTAAGCCAAAAAATTTCTTTTAACCTATATTCTCTTTATCTTTGCTTTCTCTATCTTAATAACATTATTGTATTTGTATAGCTATAAAAGCCGAATTACTACGGGCTGTAGAGTTTTAATCTCTATTGCTAAACTTTACTATTATTTACTAATTTTAAAACCCTATAATTTCCCTATTGTAAGTCCGATTACTACTGTTATACCTTAATTTTATACTTCTTTATAAGGCTAATCTACTTTTATACTTAATCAAATACTAACTACGTACATTGCGAGCTAATATACTTTTACATTCTTACAAATATATATTAATATTTTAATATTTATACTTATGTTTATACCGAATATATACCAATATTATATTTACTATATATATAATTAAAGCCTTTAGTTCTATAGAATTAGTAAGATATTTGCTCGTTCCTTTTCTATAAAAGAAATTAATTTTCTAATTTTTCTTCTTCTTTTTTCCCTCAATTCGCCTAACCTTTCTTTTCTCTCAACTAACCTAACTCTACTTCTACTTATTTACCCCCTAGTTTTACTCAAATGCTTTACTTTAATAATTCCAACCTTAGAGAGAATTCTAATAAAGAGGATTCAATTATTTCTGAGCTAAATCCTAGCCTTTCCCAACCTTTCTCCAACTCTCTTTCCATTAACTCTAATACTACTAATACTAATACTAACGATAGTAAAAGCGAAGATAATAATGAGCCTTAAACTAAGAAAGCTACCCGGTAGCTTCATCGCTAATAATATTACTATAATTAATAATAATAGTAATAATAGTAATAATAATAATAATAGTAATAATAACCTTCTTAGCTAATTAATATCCTAGTTTCTAACTAATAAGTTATACGGAGCTAAGCTCGTATCTCCTAGGCTACTACCAATGCTAGAACCAATTATAATAATAGTAACAACCCTCTAAAAGTATTTAAGAAAAAGCTTACAATTCGAAATATTGCCTATAAATTTAGCGTATTAAAGTCTTAAGCTAGCTACTATAGTTAATAATTGTAATATAGGCTTTAGTACCTTCGGTATTTAACTAGGCTTAATAGAGGAAAGTCTAAGGGCCGCTTAATAAGTCTTATAGAAGTAGAAAACTAATTATTAGAAAAATACGCTCTTTAACTTATTAATTCCTATAATTTAGTAATTAAAGATTTACTTATTACTTTTACCAATAATTTACGAGCAAGTAAAAACCTTCCTTAACTACTAATTAGTAAATACTTCTATAAGAGATAGAAAAGGGACTATCCTTAATTTAAACCTTCTAAATTCAAACTAATAGAATTAAATAGAATTTCTATAGAGTATTAAATATAATTTGTATAATAATTTTTCAATATATTATAAAAAACGATAAAAAAGTATTATATTAATTCTTTTAACTTTTAGAATACTAATAAGATAGGCTACTATATTGCTATACTTAGTAGTAATATTAAAGTTCTAATAATTAAATTAATAAAGAAAAGAAGAATAAGTAGCCCTTTAGTTTTTTTTTTTTTTTTTTTTAATTATATTAATTTCTTTTTAGCTTTAAATTACTAATCCTACTAACTGTAAATTAGTAACCTTAATTAGCGCTAAAAGTATTACTAGTAACTTTATTCTAATTTATTATATTTTTAAAACCAACCTAGTAGCTAATTAGGGTTTTTTCTAGGACTTTAATCTAAATATAAAATTTAACGTCTCTAAAATAGTATTTAATAATATTCAAATTACGTTGGATAAAGTTAAATATTTTAATAAATATTCTTAGAAGTACCTTACTAATACCTAGCATTATAATTTGGACTTTAGTGAGTAGTTTAGTATAACCCCTAAAGAAGAATAAACTATAATTCAAAATAATAAAATTATAATTCGAAAAAATAAGAATTTTTATATATAATTAGGTAGTAAAGAATATTGCCTTCTTTTACTTAATTCTTTTTTAAACTACTACGACCAAAAGGTATATAATTACTATAAAGAATTTAATATTATTATTATCTTTTTTCCTCTATATTCTTTATATTTTTTATAACCTATAAATATAAATATTTTTCGATATTTTAAACACTTATACTAGAAAGTATTGCGAAACTACCTTCGAGGTGGAAATTTGTAGTTTGATTGGCATAATTTTATACGAAATTTTAGTATAAATCTCTTTTTTTTTTTTTTTTTAGTTTTTTTTTTTTAATATTTTATACTAATTAGACTCTTATTATATATTTAATAGTATATTCACTAGCCTATATATTTTAAATAATTTTTGAAAATTTAGAATATAGCTTTACAACCTTAAACTAATTATTAACTAACTTTAAAAAGATTTGGTAAGTAAATTTACTCCTTAGTAGCTTCAAATAATAGAGTTTAATCTAGAATGTTAAATTAAAACTATAGAAATTATTAGGCTATTAAAGAATATTACTCCCTAAATTAAAAAGATTCTTAAAAAATCTAATTAGCTAATTAAAAGTTTAACAACGAAATTAATTAATATAGAAACTCATTTTTATAAAACTACTTTTTATAAGACCTTTATTAATAAATTTGTAAATAATAAGAATAATTATCTTAACGACCGGACTAAAAGAATATTTATTCGAAGAATAATTAAATTATTAAATATATAGATCGATAGTACGTCTTTTATAGATATATAGCGTACAAACGAAAGAGAGGAGGAAAAGTAAGTAGTAAAAGACTATAAAAAGCAATTCCGAATTTAAAAGTAGGGAATTATAAATAAATTAAAAGAGAAGATTGTAGAGTATAATATCTATTGAGTAAAAAAGGAAAATAGGGTTAATAGAACCCTTTAAGCGGTTATAGTAATTAACGTTCTAATAATTTTGTAAAGCGACGAATTATAATTTGAGTTGGATACCCCTAAATTTTAGATATAAGGTTCTTAGTCTTGAGAGTAGTAATAAAGAAAAATCGTTTTTTATTAATATTCGAAAGCGCGTTAACGTTCCAACGTTTCTCCTAAAGCTACTTAGTAACTTTATTAGCTATTATTCTTTAAGAGAAGATTCTAATGAAGATAATAGAAGTAATAGTAGTAGAGATAGTGGAGAAAATAGCGGGGATGAAGTTGAGTTTTTCTTAAATATTTAAAATATAGAAGAGTATAATTATAGTAGCCTAGAATAATTAAGATTTAATTATATACTATTTAGTTTACTATATAATTAAGGGAGAAAGAGAAAGAGAATTGGGGAAGAAAGTGGAGGAGATAGTGAGGAAGAAGGTAGAGAAGAGGGTGAAGAAGAGGGTAGAAATAATAATAATAATCGTAGTAAGGACTCTAGTAAAGGAGAATCTACTACACTTATTAATTTAATAAATTAAATACTAGTAGAATAAATAGAGTAAACTAAGTAGAGTAATTAACTAAGACAATAAGGATAGAAGAAGACAATAATAATAATAATAATAATAATAATAATAATAATAATAATAATAATAATAATAATAATAATAATAATAATAATAATAATAATAATAATAATAATAATAATAATAATAATAATAATAATAATAATAATAATAATAATAATAATAATAATAATAATAATAATAATAATAATAATAATAATAATAATAATAATAATAATAATAATAATAATAATAATAATAATAATAATAATAATAATAATAATAATAATAATAATAATAATAATAATAATAATAATAATAATAATAAAAGCGGGGAGGAGGAGGAGTATAAGGATTCTAACTACGAGGAGGTTAAATGTGATTTCTAGTATAAATAATCTATATTATTAGATTTACGTATATATAAAATAATAATAGTTTTACGTATTAATACATATGCTGCTCGTGTTAACGATGTTGTATACAGCTGGAAAATATGGATATATTACTAAAAGAATTATTGGCTCTGACAATGCTATATTGTTTTGCTAGTAAAATGGCGGTATAGGGAAGTACCCCGCTCGGTACGAATCAATGTCCATATACGAATCAATATTCCTAACTAGTAGCTCGCCCGCTAGTCTGACGGTCGATTTTGTAAACCTGACAAG